AATGAAAGAAGTGTTTTAAACAATCTTAAATCGAACAACAATATTATAATAAAGCCAGCAGACAAGGATGGGGCTATTGTTGTCCTTAACAAAGATGACTATATCACGGAAGCTAACCTGCAACTAGAGGACACTAATTTATACAAAAAACTCTCACATGATCCTACAACACACTTTATTAAGACCATAACTGATAAGCTAAAAGAACTCCTCCAAAATAGTAAATTTAACAAAAAGACCTTTCAGTATTTGATACCCAAACAAGCTTTTCCTGGTAGATTTTATCTCTTACCAAACCAAACAATCCTTGGCCGATCCATAATTTCTAACATAAACATGGCTACTGAAAAGCTTTTGTTGACCAATACATAAAATGTACTACTTGTACCCTCCCTTCTTACATAAAGGATATTACTCACATTCCTAATATCATAGAAGATATTAATACTAACGGACAGTTACCACCCAACAGTTTTCTTTGCACGATGGATGTTTCCTCCATCTACACCAATATTCCACATGATTAAGGACTAGAAACTCTAAAGTCTTCATTAAACCTTTCTAACCAATCAGAATCTCAAACAGTAACCGATCTTGTCAGCCTAGTTTTAACTCTGAACAACTTTGAATTCAATAACGAACATTACCTTCAGTTTAACGATACTGCAATGGGTATGAAAATGGCTCCCACTTATGCCAACATTTTTATGGATCATATTGAAAGCCAGCTTTACAACTAAGCCCTGTAAAACCTCATACATGGAAACGTTACATAGACGACATATTTTTCATTTGGACAACCAGTCTTAACATCACTTAAAGAATTTATCTCATATGCAAACTCCTTTCACAAAACAATCAAGTTTACCTTTGATTACTCTCCTACCCAGATCAACTTTCTTGACGTCACTGTCTTTAAAAATGACGGAATTTTACATACTGACTTGTACAAAAAAACCTACAGACAGATCACAATACTTTCACTATAAAAGCTGTCACCCCGTTCACACTAAACGGAACATAGCTTACAGTCAAGCTCTTGGAATAAAGAAAACATCCTCAGATGAAACAGACTACTGGAAACACACCAAGGATCTAAAACAAACTATGTTACAAAGAACATATAAATATACCGAAAACGACAGACAAATCGAAAAAGCTAACAATACTCAGCGGAAAAACATCCAAAATCAGAACAATACTAAAGTTTTAAATATAATTCCTCTTATTATTACCTATCACTTTAAACTCAGAAACGTTTCACGAATTCTTAAAAACATTTTCATCTCATACAACTTAACAGTCGTCTTAAAACAGATATTTCCTGAAGTTCCCGTTGTCTCTTTCCGAAAAAGCAGAACTCTAAAAGATATCCTTGTTCACACAAAAGCAAATTACATTCCACTAAAAATGGTTGTAACCATGCAATAAATCTCGTTGTCAAACCTACAAGTTTATAAAACTCACTGACTCATTTTCTGACAAGCACAACCAAAGAAACCTTAAAATATCCAAAGAAATCACTTGTGGAACACAAAACACCATTTACCTTATACAGTGTAAAAAATACAATCACCAATATGTAGGACATACACAAACAACTCTTAGAGAACGTTTCAACAACCGTAAATCTACTATTAACACCGAAAAAGATATCCCTGTTGCTTAACACTTAACCAACCCGGTCATTCCGTTAACGACGTTACTCACATCGGCATTGAAACAGAATTTAAAATGCTGATAGAAAGATAAAAGAAGCTTATTGGGTCGATAATCTAAACACTGTTCAATCTTGTGGAATCAATTTTTATTCTTTGCTCATTTCTTTCATGTAGCGTGAACCCTAATTTTTCTAAAACTTACTATCTACTTACGATAATTTTCCATACCTGTTTGTATAAATCAATTAGCTTAACATCTCTTTTTAATCAGTCTCCAGGTGCCACCTATATTTCACTTAAGCACTTAAGTATATTTTTATTTATGTCTTTTTTAACCATTTCTATATATATATATATCCCTAACACCTTTTTACATTGATATCCAACTAATGAGTCGTGACTGTGGATCAAATATAAACAACGAAAATGTCGAATGTAACATATATAGATAATTTACGGTTTGGTTGTAATTAAGCACAAAGATACACAATGAGCTATTTGTGCATTGCCCACCACGAGTATTGAAACAAATACATTACGAAAGAGAGGCACTACCAATTGTAACTTAACTTATAAATCAAAGAAATCGTTTTCATTCTAATAAGATGTATAACAGCGGATATTTATATTCAATAAATTGTGATTTTAGAATATATATATATATATTTTATTTAGTTTCTGTAATGGCGGTATCACGTGGTCCATAAAGTCGTTAAAATAGTCTTGTTCTAGTTGCTTTGTTCTCTACAGTAGATACGTTTTTCTGCAATAGCCAGGGGTGAAATTCTGTTGATACTCACAGGTACTAAGTACCGGGACTTATTTGAACTGCTTTTTCGTTTTTTATGTTTACACGTAGATTTCTTCTTTAGAAAAAAAAAAAGGTCCAATTCTCCCAGCTGAGTACTTCTAAATTCGTCTGATACTTGTCGGGAAATACAATAATTTCAGTTGTGAAGGCATTATTTGTTAGTTAAATTAATGTACTTTGTAGTGAGATTATATAACTGATACGACCCATTTATTTAACTAAATAAATTATCGTCTTAAGTGAACTGTCATTTTAAAATAAGTTATTATAACAACTTACCCTAAAATAAACAAAATGAACTAACGATAACATTTTGTGCCTAATTTTATGATAACTAGGTTATAAAAACGTCTAAATATTCCCAAAATTAACTGGAGGCTAAGCCCGTATGGTTTTGCTTTTGAAATGTTGGACATTGTAATGACATCTGTTCTGTTAACAGATGCCATTTTGTTTAAAAAAAACAAAACAAAAAACATGCCATTGCTCATTATAAATGGTGTCTGGCCTAGCG